GCACTATAGTTTTGAAACATGCCAAATGAAGAAATAGGATAAAAACGATAGGTTCATTTTTCCCGGAATGTATTTTACAACAAGGAACATTTTCAGTCTTTCAATATTTTCTACACTTTAAAGTTTCAAAGCTTCACAATTTGAGGTACGGACAACATTATCCCGTAAATTTGTAAACATTTAGTCGAATTATAAATGCTAAGAGACGGCTTTAATCTGTAATTTAGGCATCAAAGTGTTCTTTAAACTTTTACAGCACCAATGCGAGTTACAGATTGAAAAACTGTGTAGACAGCTTTCTATAATAATAAGTATAATATTGAAGACTGATTAATGCCCTCTAGATGTCTTTTGTTTATTTTTGGCGTTTGGGTTTATGTCTTATTAAATCATACATAAATCCTCTTAATTACTCAAATAATGAAACAGAAAGAGGGAAGTTCAATACTGGCTAAACTTTGGACCATTTTTGTTTTAATTAAAGTGATAACTGCTAACCATATTACCAGAGTTGCGTATCTATATATATACTTCTAAAACCGAACTCGATTCTTTGAACCGTGATCACGTTTGACTTGTAAGGACTGCATTTCGTATTCAAATCCATTGAATACTGGACCATTTTATACTTTGAACATAAGAACGTTCTCGTTGCCTTCGTGTTCATGACCTTTTCACTTCGGAGGAAAACTATGTCTTTTAAAATCTAACATATCGATTTTTTCGAATTCGAATAGTTGCTGTTTTCAGTGAGAATATTAATTCAAAAAGAGGAAGTTTTCAGCCATTCCGAAAGCAGGTGGATCGGGTGTGATCAACCAAAAGTTCAGTCAATAAAGGGAGGAGTAACCTTTTTAGTGAACCCATACAGACTATTTGTTTTCATCATTACAGACCTTCAGCAACAATAGACTAGTAAATTGGGGCCGATTACGTATTGACATAATTATTTTACAGGCGCCAACTGAAGACTTGAGTATAAAAGTATGTTTATCTGGACTTCTACCACTTAATAGTAAATCCATGTTAAAGACGTTTATTTGGATGTATAAATACCCAGACACGTCTGTCGAAATCGCGACGCTAGATCCAATGCATCGTGTAGGGAGGGGGAATGGTATGTTATATGCAAATTTAGAACCATTGCAAAAACTCTTAAAGAGTCCCGTATGTGCAGGCCTGTTGCAATAGAAAATGTTGGTTTCCTACTTTTCAGTAACAGTATTAATTTTACACCGGTCGAAACGAATGACATATCCTACTAATTGGGTGTATTGTCAATTTGTTCTCATCCTAGATACAAAATGAAGTATTCGCCACTGGACGTTAGGCAAACACTAACTAGCTTATAGTCATTTATAATGAACATCTTAGACACAGGGCGGAGCCTGGGGTGGGGAATGCTAGGGAATCATAAGGACCGATTCCTTTAGAGCAAAATATTGCTTTTATTATAATACTACACGAAAGTTTTCGATTAGTTTCTCCTCCGCATTAAAAAAATCACGGCACTTTTACTGAGATATTTCTTAACAGTTATACAAAAGTCATGACATTAACATATTATACCAATACCAAATTATTCTGTAACATCAAGGGTCTGTATACCTTTCATACCCTGCTTCCCTTTGAAAGTTTCTATTGGAAAATGTGAAAAATCAGTGTATTTAAGTATCCCACACTGTGAGTAAGGAATTAATATATTGACAATTGTACATGTATGCTACCATGAATTCAGCTTCAATGGTGTGTTGTATCATTGTATACATACTAAAACCCTTAACGCGTGCGGATCGTTATCAACCAGCAGCAATTGATAATGTCAATATACCTTGTGTACAAAAATATTTTCTGATAACCACGCTTTCGCGGGTTTGTTTCTAGTGGGGAATGTAATTTGACTAAACAATAAAACTGTTTTCAATGAATTATTTCATTTTCGATGGCAGTCAATTTTTTAAAGCATGATCTTAAAGAAGACCTTGTAATATTTGCCACTGAACATTAAGAAACGATAAATCAACAAGTTATATCATTTCCTTTCCGATTTGCGGTTTGACAGATATTGAGAAACGAATTAATTACAGCTATAACTTTCGTTAAAAGTCGCCGTAGAACGTCAAGCACGTGCCATTTATTTTTAAATCAAACTTTATCACTGTATCTAAACTACCCCGGCGAAAAATGTTTGGACTCAATAGTATCTAATGTCCGGTACGGTGACGGACAATCAACAGACAGAGAAATGTAGAAATTCTGTTTATTTATATGTTGTTTTAATGATATTGAAGAATATACATACACATATAACTATTTTCGATAGTGTGATGTAATATTTTCTACCACCGTTCTAGATTTATGGAGAAATAAGTAAAAATGCACATCAAAATGGTGAATTGAGTGAACCCTGCCTCGAATTTGTTTAATTTCTCTTTAAATTGAGCACATTGTACGGAAAGAAAGGTACGGAAAGAAAGATATTAACACGGAGATTTCAAGACTTTTCACTATGATCGCCTCAATATTTGCATGTCTGTGCATGGAATGAAAGAAGTGGGTCATGTCAAAATTGAAGCACCCGGTTTTGTCACTGTGTACGACCCGGTTTTGTTCTTAAATTTCACAAAGCAGACCCGGTTTTGTCATAGAAAATAATGCATAATCGCATGACGAAAATTAAAATATGGCGTTCAACAGCAGTTTGAGGGATCGTTGAAACACATTTTCTTTCAGAGGATAACTTATAACCTCTTTGAATCCGTAAACACTTGAATTCCTGCTATATTAGAACAAAGCAAATTTCAATTTTGTTTTTCGTTCATTTTTTTTTACATAAATTAGGCCGTTAGTTTCCTCGTTTGAATTGTTTTACACTTGTCATTTTGGGGCCTTTTATAACTGACTATGTTGTATGAGCTTTGTTCAATGTTGAAGGCCGTACGGCGACTTATAGTTGTTAATTTCTGTGTCTTTTGATCTCTTGTGACGAGTTGTCTCATTGGCAATCACACCACATCTTCTTTTTTCTATCATAAGGAATTAATGTAAGTACATGATATAAAGTATTTATTTCCATTTAAACTTAGTTCGAAGATAAGATCAATAAGGTATAAGTATAGCATTAAAAAATGTCTACTCCCTATTTCGAAAAGTTCCCGTTTGAAATATATTTTAACACATGTTTGTATTGCAATAACATCTTTATAACATCTTTTTGACTCAAATATTTAATTTCTTCCGATGGGCAATGTCCTGATCCGTGCTAACGTAGCTTTTCATAAATTTGTGGTTTCAAAACAAAACAAAACCGGGTCCTATACTGAGACAAAACAGGGTCCTTGTGTAATAAACAACATTGACGAAACAGGGTCCTTCCATTTTGACATGACCCATTTCTTTCGTTCCATGCACAGAAATGCAAATATTGAGGTGCTCATAGTGAAAAGTCATGCAATCTCTGTGTTAATATCTTTCTTTCCGTACTTTTCTTTCCGTAAAATGTGCACAATTTAAAAAGAAATTAAACAAATTCGTAGCAAGATTCACTCAATTCACCATTTTCATGTGCCGTTTTACTTATTTCTCCATTAATCTAGAACGGTTGTAGAAAATATTACATCACACAATCGAAAATAGTTATATGTGTATGTTTATTCTTCAATGTCATTAAAAAACAAATAAATAAACAGAATTTCTACCTTTTCTCTGTCTGTTGATTGTCCGTCACCGTACCGGACAATAGATAAGTATCGAGTCCAAACATTTGTTGCCGGGGTAGTTTAGACACAGTGTTTATCCATGAATGATAGAATATATATTTTTTTTCAATTGATATCAGAGTATTTTCCCTTCCTTATTATTTCTAGAGTTTCGTCTGTTTGTTTATAAGTTCATTAGTTCTAAGCAGTGTAATGTCAAAGAGGAGTCAAAAGATTTTAGAAATGTACATGATATAAAATTATTGGTCACTTTGACTTGCGATTTTGCGCAAAAATGACGTCATTGACATCAGTTTATAGGGAACAGATCCATCCGACTCGGATATAGCTATTGTTTGTTACAGAACAGTTTCTTTTATTTTTCCAGTAAGGTTATATTTTTATGACAAAAAGTTCTATAGGTATGATTTTTCGGCACCTGTCGGTATAATTATATGTACAATATAGAGGTTCTACTTTCTTTCGAACACTTACCAAGAATGACACTTTTTGTCATCTACTAATGATTCAGGCATCCATAAAAGTAAATGAATACACAGAAATTGTCGTGCCCATCAAATAATGCAAATCACATTTTGGTCGTTCATTTCAAATTCATGTACGGCCTTCAACACGGAGCCTTGGCTCACACCGAACAGCAAGCTATAAAGGGCCCCAAAGTGATTAGTGTAAAACAATTCAAACAGGAAAATCAACAGTCTAATCTATATAAAAAACGAGAAACGAGAAACACCTATGAACCACACCAACAAACGACAAACACTGAACAACAGGCCCCTTTCTAGTTCCTATACAAGTCCCTTTCTATACATTTTTGTCAGAAGGTGTTTAATTGAAAGACCAAAAAAAACAATTAGAATAATACAAAGAAAGGAGTTTTTTTTTTACAGTTTTTATTTGTTAACTTGTGATTAATCATTTATTGGTGTTTACTTCATATTGTTAAGACTGACATTTTCTCTTGAATGAAATTAATTTCACCACGCGCCTTTCCCCCGGTTATTCGCCTCTTATAGTTTCCTTTTCTTCAACTTTTAAAAACATAATTCAACCCCAAAAACTTGAAATCAACACGGCATATACGGACGTTTGCCGACCGTCGTATCAGCTTGTGTAGTCATGAACAGAATTAATTTGATAGATCATAGTTTAATTAACAACCAACTGCTTAAATATAAACGTATCAATTCAATTTGTAATATCTTCATTTATCTATTTGCAATATCTCTTAGTCTTTTGTTTATATCTTTATATCAGTTTAATTCTTGCTACAATTAAATCATTCAGAATAAGGAATTTAATGAACTAACACAGGACTTTTATATTTTTGCTATATATTTGGTAAGTTCTTTTATGTATTTTTTTAAAATAATTGCTAGATACATTTTTACAATGAAAACCTTCCTGTAATCTGGACAAAGCCTAGTAAGGCTGGTAAATCTGAAAAGCATGTGCAGATGGTAAAGTACTTGTAATCTACCTTCTACGCAGAAAAAATACAGGACTGCATAATTATGTTTTTAAAGTCTTTTACGAAAATTGTCAAGTCAGAGCTAGTAAAAGTGTTCATTAAAAAGGAATTTGTGATCTTGAAGCAAACTGATAAGTTTAAATGGCATGTGCAGAAAGATATGTACGTATCAAACTTCTGCACTGGAAAAAAAAAACGATGAAATAAGCTCTGTTTTAAATAATTAGCATGCCCTCAGTTGAAATATTCACTATATTAAAGTAAGAGGGTGTAGTTTGGCTGCCAATGATAAACTATATGTTCCTATTAGAGTCCAAATGACGTGGATGTAAGCAAATGATGGTAACTGTATGGCCTTCTACGCAAATAGACCAATTCTGAGTTGTAGTTTATGAATGAGCCATGACGATTGGCCCGAAAGTCGTCTACGAGCAAAGCCGATACCGTATAGCAAGCTATTAAAAGTCTACGACATGAAAAAATGTTAAAAAAAACGAGAAAACCAACGGCCTCATTTATGCAAAAACCAATAAACGAAAAACAAAAAATGACAGACTGCAACCACCGATTGCCGCTAAATTACAGGCGAGTCACATATATAATGCGCCGGGGTTACACATGATTAAATTGCGCAAGGACTACATATCATCTAAAGGAATTTTAATACATCTTAACATTTTCCACCAAGATTTTACTCATCTTTTATAATTTGGTATGCTATAAAACGATAACACGACAATTGTGTTTGCTCTCATATGACAACAAATGTCATCATTTTCTTTTATCTATTTTTTGTGGGGAGTAGGGTAGGAGGGACAAGGGGTGTATTCAGCTTCAGGTTTTTACTACGGTATACGTAAATTCTTGAACTTTTATTCATTTTTATTATTTTTTCTAGTCTTTAACATATCTTTAAAATGTATAATTGTTTTATTGTGGGTCTGTATCTTGACAACGTTTTTGATATTTCTTCGATCCTGTTTGTGCATTTTTCCTTGACGCCGATTGTCCATCTATAAATTTTAAAATGAATTGTATGATTATAGAAAATCTTATTTTACGTTTGGAAGTTTAAGAATATGTGTTATTAAAACAAGAGTGCACTAGATGTCGTGCTAACCATACTCAGGGCCACTCGTAAATCAAAGTATCGGAAAACAGGAAGTACACATGTATGTGTCTGACATATATTAAATGCGCACACACGTTACACACCACTGTCCAGTAGTTGACCAAACATAAAGTAATTCTGTTCATTTGATCGTTAGAAACAAGTTTACCAAAATATTTGTTTTCATGCAACATTTTTAACAATATAAGTATCGGGAAATGGGTGTCTGGTGACAAACATATGTGTTGACCGAACGGGCAGACAGACTTGGGGAATAAACAACGTTTTAATTGCTGTTCTTCGTCTCAAAGTCAGTCTCCTTCACCTTTTTATACGTACATGTATGAACGATTGACTTGTATCTGATAATATTATTATTGATCATGTGATAATGTCAGTCAAGTCCTTCTGAATTAAATGTTGATCACGTCATCTTATCTTCTTTAATGACTGTTTAAATACTAATCAAAGTACGTAATATGCCAATCAAAAGAGAGGCCACGTTCTTGCGTTATGGAGTTCAAAAGTTATCGTTTAAATACCGATCATCCCAAAACTATAGAATTACAAACCATTTAACATTTTCTATATAGTTTAACCTAATGAAATATCGAAGCACACTTTATACTCGAATAAAATTTATTTTATTACCTTGGAACGCAATCAGAAAACGCGAACTATGAAAAAGATGATAAATATATTGCCAAAATTGGAATAAAAATACAATTATGTCTATCAAATCTCTGATGTCATTAAGATGACCAGGTCGGTGATGAAACGTTGATCAGATATGATAAAAATAACCTGATGGGGTATTTAGATAACTTACATAAAGCTAGTTATGTAGTTTCGGAAAGCACTTTTGTACTTGTATCCGGCCACCAAACACCTGATCAGTAAAACAATATTAAAAGTCACAAGTTAAAGTACATACTTATCTTATTATTTCAAACATTATGTTTTCATTCATTCATTCATTCATTAAAAAAATTATTATATTCAGTCAATTCGCTTGTTGTTTTTTTTCGTTCTGCTTCTTACTTCCAGTCGCTAAATGTAATGCAAAAAAAGTCCTTTACTTTTAATGAAGAACGTTACAAATACAATGCTCGTAATTCATTTCTTCATAGTTACACAATTCATTTATTCTTTCATATATTTGTTCTTCACTTTATTCGTTCATTTATCCACTGAGTTAGTAAATTTATATTACAGTTGATTGCTATGACCAGAAATGGCTGCCGCCGTACTACAGAGAAACCCTTCAATATCGTTTGATACACTACCAGGAGGCAGGAAGACACGAAAACACAGCTTTGACTATAAGCAGTCAGAGGCAGATCCTTATTCCAGACGACAGTCGATAAAATACCACTTCCCAATACCATTGCTAGATGAAACAGAGGTCAACGAGGTAAGAACCTATTGCAAATGATTGACTGTTAAAATGTTTAACGCCACTTTTAACACTCCTAAGCACTCTCCTGGATACACTTTCATCAGGAAATGATTTCTCTGGAAAACATAACATTTCAAATATTAAAAACAATTAACGTTTAAAGTCTTGAAATTTTGACTTTTTGAAGGTATAGACTTAAAAAAAAAAAAAAACAGGTTTTAAAAGTCGAAATTTTATTAGTTAGGTTAATTTATTAGTTGATCAATTATGTGATATGTGGTGCCTGCACTTAGGAATCACTAGACAGTCACTCGCGCAAGTATGAACGTATATCTACTTTATGGGTTGAGTATACTTGGGTTTAGTGAAACCGTGTTTTCTTATCCCAATGCGGATCAAGGATTTTTCGAAATAAGCAAGGGTAAGGGCACTGGATTTCTTTTAGAATTTACTTTTGTTAAAAAGAAGAACTTCCGAATTTATCATGTACATTTTTAATTAAAAACTGACTGAAATTACTGATAACAAATGAAATTCTTTTATTGTAGACTGTAGTAAGTGAAGATGAAATAAGAAAAAGTGTATATGGACTACCCTTAAGTCAGATGAGTTTTGTAGCTGTTGAATCGGCAGTATGGAGACCAACAGTTGCTAGTTGTAGACGTTCTGTGTTATGGTCACGTGAACGGAAGTTATATGAAGCTCAAAGTAGACAACGAATGGAGGAATTTAAAGAAAAACCTTACATGCAACATCAATATCCAGAGCTAAAGAGGCATTATCCGGGAACTTGGCGTTTAGCAACAAAACAAGAAATAAATGGCATTGTCGTCAGGTTAACGAAAAATCCAGCGCCAACTTCCGCCAGCGTTATGGGTCGTCGTCGAATTCAATCAGCTCCGCCTAACTTACCTATTCTTCATACACGCAGTGGAATGACAAAACGACCGACGACATCAAATACTATTTAAAAGGAAACTATAAGATTTTTATATATTACAACAAGCACTAAAAATAAAAAGTGACTTCGAAAAAGACAGCTCGACTCGATTTGACCTATGTATATAAATGTTAATAAACAGAAAGTCATTGTAATTAATTCATTAACCTTTCATGAAGATTGGAAAAACAAAACATGACTTTGATCAGCTTTCAGTACGTACTTTGTAAGTCAGTAAGTTATTTGGTTGAAATAAAGAGCAAACATTTGTCTATCTTCAATCATAAAATAAATGCATGTATAAAGCAAATACATAATTATTAAATTCAGAAACACTGCTGTAAACGATTGTACATCGACTGAGGCTGATAGAGTTATCTCCCATGTTATGTATTTTGAAATAACACTTGATTTATTCTTTAATATATACCTATGTAACAATATTCAAAATACGCAATTAACTATGTTCATGATGGGTAAATAATTAATAATATACAGTGTCTTGTTTTAAAGACATCTTCTCTGTTTACACTCAAAATGTATCTTAGTGACAGACATTATCTCTTAGTATATATAATAGAACCTGGGACTAATACGTTGACATTATCAATTAGTCCTAGATAGAACTAATTTCCCTAACACACAGATATATAAAAAAAAAGAGGGTACTACAGACTAGAAATAATGTTTCGGAACAATTCTTTTCTGTACTTCTTTAGTTTCGTTCATGTAATGGTAAAATAAAATTCACCTTCATCCCTAGAATTATATATGTATTTTAAAACTTTTTAGCGCACTAAAAATGATATAAAATCATCTATTCGTCAAGTTAAGTTTATTTTATTTTAAGTTCAAATGTTTTCAAACATTGTAAGTTTTCCAAAAACATTTATGTCAGCTGACCACATTTGTTTTCAGTTCTGTTTTTATTTTATATTAACTTTGTGTTGCTTACTCGAAAAGAGTGTAGCACATTGATAATAGAGGCGTATTTTTAAAAACCAAACCAAACATATTATGTAAATAAATACTCTTGAAACACATCACTCTTTTGAATGACATTATATTTGCGTTTGAGTGTCAGACCTATTCATGTGTAACGGATTGTAAATTTTAAATGTAACTTTGTGCATGTGTACATTTATAATTTGATATCGTTTGCTTCAGAAAATAAATGTTCGACTAGCCAGTTCAATTCTTTTGATTATTGATATACAGAGCATGTACATGTATATGATTGTAACTTACAGATATGCAATTATCCTTCAGTATTTTACCTGCGCCGCCAACGGCAAAAGCAGGACTTCGTCCGTCATTCCGTCCGTAGGAAAGACCGTTGGTAGAAAGTTTTCTTGGCTTCTATTAATGGGAATGATTTTCATATTTAGTCTGCAGCTTGATAATGCAGGGTTGTAGCGTGTAAACTACATAAACATCTGCCGTGCAGACACTGCCGATATTTTGAAATTTTACAACATTAATTCATTGTACAAGGAAAACCTTCTCAATATGATTATTTCTAGTTCAAATAAAAGACATTCTACTCTGTAGCATTATCAGATAGTCTACATTAATAAAGTTCAAGACTCAATATGTATTTATTAAGTTTAGAAAATTATTGAAGATTTTTTTTTTACACACATGGTCATCAGTTTTGCGGATAACAATTCAGTATGAAATAAGGTGAGGTGGTATGTTTGCCAATGAGACAACTATCCATCAAAGTCCGAATGCCGCACAAGCAAACCTACAGTAAAGTTAGCTATAAGAAGCACCTACATGACTCAATCAATTTGTCTTTCGTTCAAATTACGAAAAGAAGAATCATTATGGCTTCAACTTAAAAATTTGTGGTTAAGCAACTCTATACAAAATCATATTATTAATCGAATATTTTTAAGGATTTGAGTTCGTTAAAACTTAATCACATGTACATTTGTATTTACTCAGTTTGCAAGCCAATAATAATGTGTTTAGCTTTTCGTAGGTCAAAAACAGCATATTACACAGGGCATACAGCTTGTTACTAAAAATACATTCTAGAAATTCCCCAATATGACATTGTTCATGCAATAGTTTTTGATTAATAATATTACAATTGTAGCCCTTGGGTGAGGTCAATACGATAATATATCGACCTAGAGAAGCATATTGACCTCGGACTTCGTCCTCAGTCAATATGCTTCTCTTGTTCGATATAACCTCGTATCGACCTGATACAAAGGCTATAATTGTACAATATTTGTTCTTTTTCGCAATGTACATGTATTTGAAACTGAAAATAGTTATACAATCTGATGATATACATATATCTTTGCATTCTAAAAAAATATCAAAAATATTTAAATGTTGGCTCACTATAGCTACCCACGAACCCCCTTTTGCATGATTTTAAGTGGAGAAGAACTTGAATATTAATGATAAATCACAAGGGAATATGGCCATACCTCTGTACATAGAAACGAAAAAGACTACAGATGTAAATACAATACAACATAACACTAAGGAGTTAACCAACCCCGAGGGTATCCCGGTGGTCCCAGCTTTCCGATTGAGGTGTACAAATCCCTGTATTAGGGTAGGCTGTTTGGTTTTGCAGGATGTGTACGCATACAAATGTATGTAGAGTGACACGCTCTCTGCACGTTATAAAAACCGCGTTTACAGCAATTCTTTGAGGGGTAATTAGGTGCCCGTTTGAAAGCACATTTCATCCCTGTTCAACATGATCACATTTTCCAGTTGCAGTCAGAAAATCCGCCTACATATTGCATTAATTGATAATTTGTTGTTTTCGTCCTGAATTAGCATTACATCTGTGTCATGGAAACGCTAAGCAAGGAACAATCAATCATAATATGAAAAAAAGATATAAGTGGGATTTGGAGTTTCTTTAATTTACACTTGACATAACAAACATTTGGCATGTACACGTAAGTATTTATTTAAATTTTCACAACCTTCTTATTGTTTAATGTTAACATTTTTATCGCACTTATGGTGTATGGGGAGTGACTTCAAAGACGCCAAGTGTTTTAAATACTTCAAAATAGGGTTACCAGTTTCTTAAATTTATTATATGAAATTTTCCAAATATATTTATGTCTTTCATCAAACATAAGTGTGTCATTAACACTTATTTCGATATATCTACGGAAAGGTATGGGTTAAATTTTTGTCGAACATATGTAGTCCCATATACAATGTACTCTCTGTTAGTGAAAGTGTTATATGAATATAGTATACAATCTATACCACTTGTGCTTTCCAAAAATAAAACATGTCCGAGGGAAGAAGTAGGTAATATAATTTCAAATTTTATAAAAAAAAAATTATACCTGTAAGTGAATAATATGTTATTGTACATGTGCGGTAAAGTTTGATACTCATATATTTGATTAATTCATTGTTGTTTATTGATCGTACACATAAAAAATATTTCATGCATATACAATCGAAGCGCGTGAACAGCAACATGTAGGTTATACAAAGTCTATACTTGCATGTGAAAAGCGGGAAATTGAAAATGAAACTTTATGAAACAGATTTTGGGAATGGGTAGAAATTTCAACAGGTCAATGACAGACCACTTAAGGGGTTTGTAAGTTGATGTCTGATGTTGTTTGCACATGGATTTTAAGAAACATTGCTTGTCTTTTCTTATTTCAAATCTTTAAAGCGAGACATGTTGACAATGCATAACCACTTTTCTAATGTTTATACCCGTATTTTGACATTTTAAGATGTCTTTTGATTTTTGTGTCGCTATGTTGCTGTCCGAATAACATTATCGCATCTATCCTTTTATTCAAATTGCAGTGGTACCTTTCGTGCTAGGGGATATCATCAGCTCAGTAGTCGGAGGTTCGATACTGAAATGATATATAATATTGAAAAAAGACTTAGGTTCCGATTCTCTTAGGCAAATTTGATATTAGATGGGTTTGGCTATTCTTTTAAGGTGTCTTTTGGTCATTTAGCTCCTAGTACATTTAAGTACTTATTCATCCCTGGGTCTAAATTGTTTTTGTTCGAGCATTCATGAAGAAGGTCAATCCAGAAAAGAGATTCGAACGAATCAAATGTATAATGTGTTATTTCCATTTCATACTATCATTTCATACTATTAGCGCAATCCGTCCGGCTGGACATGGCCGCAATGTTTTTTTTGTATGTCCCATGCAACCAACCAAATATCATTCTCCTGCACAGGTCAACCTGCTGGACGAAAGAAGTTCAATTGCCCCAATTCTTCACCTCAGTCATGGTTGGGGTATACAGAACTATACTTATTGATTCCACAAGAAAATAACATTTCTGATCAAATTAATGTAATTTTTATTTAATGTTTTTTTTAAGTATATTATTATGATTGTTGCTTATTATAAGTTTAATTTCACAGTCTTGTAATTCTATTTTCCGTAGGCGATACAGTAGATGGCACAGTAACTCTATATATCAACATTAGTACTATAGTACATATAAACATCGTATTACCTTTCATAAATGTTTAATGAAATATCAAATACACGGGGATATAAATTTCATATTTATATTGCATTTGATCAGATTAATAAGTTAAGTAATAGAAAAACCGTAAATAATTTAGCCTTGCTGAAAGGAAAGGTTAATTCACATAAAAGAACCTATCCGGTTAAGTCATTGTTAAACTAAAAACCATTTAGGCATTGAAGTAACTTTATCAGTCGTGAATACAATTGAAGTTGATATCGAATGTTTATTATTTGAAAATGTATTTCAAGCGAAATTTTAGACGATTTATGATTAGTTTTACGGAACATTGTTCTTAAGTGTAGTTCATATATCTAAACGCAAGTAAATAGATTTGAAGTGTACGAAAAGTTGACTATAAATATGACGTCCTCTGAACTTTTAGAAATGTAAGTTTGTTATTTTATTTTGTTTATTTTTAAATTCATATATGAATTTGATGTTTAGATTTAATGTTGTAATGTGTGTCCTTGTCTTTTTCATCGTGTTAGTTTGAAAAGACAATTTTTTATCGTGCATACTATTCCGGTGGGCTGTTCATACAATCAGTTATTAAGCTAACCCGATAATACAGTCGTTATATTACGCTCACTATCAATCACTACACTGTAAAAATGGTGTTTAGAGTCTAAACATAATCCTAAACGCGAATTTTGTTCTCACTTGAGCACATGTTTAACCCTAAACATGTTCTACTTTGTGCAAATGTTTAGGTTTAGAACACCATAATACTGTCCCCTAAGAACATGTTTAACCCTAAACATGTTTAACCCTCTAGAACATGTTTAGCCTCTATGTGTTTCTTTCCTAAACATGTTTAACCTCCATCATGTTCCAATCCTAAACATATTTAGTCTCCATCATGTTCCCATCCTAAACACGTTTAGCCTCCTTTATGTTCCCATCCTAAACATGTTTAACGGGCAAATTTGTTCTCTAGTACTGGTAGTAAATACTTGTGTGACAGGAATCATCCCATCAATCATCAAAAACCATACAATTACTCCAAAACTGATCTACTGTCGGTGTCTAACATTACATTGGAATCTTTAGATGTGCAAGCAGTTGCAACCTGAAACAGATTAAAACAATCCACAAAGTATCATGTTTAAAATACCTCAATTTTAATTGTACAAAAAGTGTTGGTACACGCGTGTCATTTTCTGTCTGATTGATTCAATACTATACACGTTTCATATACTTTATTACAAGAATTATAATTAAATGTGATTTATTTCATCCTTTAAGATATATATGTAGTTTTGATATGCAAACTGGGAAGACGTAAATGGGTTCAGAACCTTATCGATGTAAAATATTTGCTTAAATATAATTATACAATACGTTTATTTGCGATTCCTTTTATAAATAATTTAAAGAAAACGTGAATCCATATGTGTAGATTTAAAACGATTTTAAAATGGTATGCCTAGCTCCCCCTTTTTGTCAATATTGTATCTAACCTTGTGGTGTTTGAAATTTCCTGTAAGGACACTCTCTAGCTTCACCTAATTACATTGTAATAGACAATAATATTAGATAATACTTATCTGACATTTCCGTTGTCGCTTTTTGAACCTTCCATGACATGGATTGTTGATCTTCTGCATCCCGGAATTTCAATTTTTCAAATGCATGATTATTTGCGCACGCGCCAATTCTGCTTCCTATTGTTTGT